ATCCATTCCGATTTTAAAAAATTTATAATCTAATAAGAATTATTGATTATTTCAACAAAAAAATATGAAAAAAGTAAGAAACAAAATAAATATACAATTGTTGAATAATGAAAAAATAAAAATAATTGATACACGCCTAGATTTTAGGGGTTACCTGCGAAAGTTGAATTGAGAAAGTGATTTTTTTTGTTTGAAATTCAAAATTGGATAGAAGGAGTGATTATAGGAGAAAGGGGTGGAATATAAATAGGAGAGATAATATTGATTTGTATAAAATTATATATAAAATCAAAATAAAGATTTTTTACGGTTGATTTAGGAATAGGTGATGGGTCCCATTAATTATGGCAAAAAAAAAAAACTATAATCATAAAAAGTAAATAAATTAAACTATATCCTTAGTATATAATTACTTAAGGATGTTTGCCATCCTACGTAATTTACCCAAATTATAAACCTAACACAATAATGGGCTAAAGTGCAAATGATCCCTTTTTATATGTTATGGGATTTTTCTATGAGCTGAACTTGGGCCTAAAGTTTTTTCACTTGGGGGTCCAAACTCATAGCCCATAAGACTCTATATGGGCTAACCCGACCCGTTATGATAAGATGATCCAGTATATTTGGGCCATTTGTAGCTCCAAATTGACTGTTGATGGCTTCTCTAATGGCAGAGCAGACGGATGAAGCAGAAGTCAATCAATCCACGAAGCAATCTCAATCTGTAAGTTCTCTGTTTTCAATTGATCTTTCTGTAATTACTTTTTTGATTTCTGTTAATTGTTGGTTAAATTGTTTGTGTTCGAGCTGTGGAAACCATCACTAATACTTGCATTATGCTAGACTGTCTAGATCATGATCCTTCTATGGACCTTGTTAATGCAGGAAGCTTTGTGCATCGGATTACGTTTTGCTCTTATGGACTATTTGTTCACAATGAAATTGAGTGCTTTTGTAATCAATTATTAGAATTGTTGACCCTTTTTCCTACTTAGAGTAGTTTATTTGCTGATTGCTTTTTGGAAATGATTTTATGTTCATTGATCCTTGTAAAATTGCAAAGGGGAACAATGGTAAAGTTGTTTATCTGTGACCTATAAGTTATGGGTTCGAGAGATGGAATTAGTCATTGATGCTTGCGTTAGGGTAGACTGCTTACATCACACCCCCTGGCCACTGTGGCGGATCCAGAATTTTTAATCAGGGGTTCAAAATTTGAAGAAATAGACACATGAAGTAGTCGAAGGGTGTTCAACATCTACTATATATATATATACCTAAAAATTTATTTTAACCATGTATAAATAATACTTGGTAATTTTCCACTGAAGGGGGGTTTGGATGAGCCCCTGACTATAAGGTGGCTCCGCCACTGCCCCTTATGTCGAGCCCTTCCTTGGACACTGCATGAATGTTGAATGTTTTGTGCTTATGAGATTCTGGTTTTTGATATAGTTCGTTATGGGCTGTTTGATTATTCAATTCACTGTGAAATTTGGGTGTTATTATAATTAGTAACTAAAGTTGTATTCTTTTTCTTGTTTTGACAAGAACAACTTATTTTCTAATTCCTATTTCGAGGTTGAAAGTGATATCATCCTTTGATTCTTTATGAAACTATCATATTAGTATGTCGGTTGACTGTTTGATTGTTCATTTTCACTGGGAAATTGGATATTCTTGTAATCGGTGAGTTAAAATGTTGTTTTTAATTTCTACCAGAAATGTTCGTCGACTAATTGCTACCTTGAAGTTTATGGAAGTGATATTAGCTTTGATTCTTCTTACTTGCGTGTTTTGATACAGTTGATTATTGCCTGTGAGATGACTTAGCACAGTGGAACTAGGGAACTGTAACACTTTTAAAAAAATAGGTACTTTTGCAATCAGACATTGATCTTCCAGTTTCTGCATTGTAGTTTGTGGAAGTGATTTGCAAATGCACCGGCAAGACTTGGCGATTTGCTGCTGGAACAGAGGCAAAATTCGCACTGAAATTTATCAATAGTAGTAGCGTTGATTCTATCCCGGCAGACCAACCTGCAACTTATGTTGAAGCTGTTAAAGATGGGGAAGTGCCTGTGATTTTTGGCCCCAATTCAATTCTTGTGAGTTATGGCAAAGGATGGAAATTGCAGCCAGTCACCGAGACAACAAGTAAGATCTTATGATATTTAATTGTTTTTGGTGCCTGAATTACTTAGAAATAGGAACTGTCAGTGGTAAGATTTGTTTTGTAATTCTCTTGCAGAAGGTTTTTCAAGAAGGATGCCTGATGATTACGCAGCAGCAAGACCTGCATATATGCCTCCGGTACGATTGCAATCACACTAATCGTATTATGTATCCTCTTACTTGATTTCTTGTTCTTTGTATATCCCAATCTGAGTATCTGTGTTTGACGTGTTTCCGAAGTTAAACAGGAGAAAGTTCATGTTCAACTATTTTTTTTGTTTAATAGAAACATTTTAATGAAAGTTGCATGAAATTGCGTGTAGAGTTATTTGATCGTGTATTATTCAGCTGTGACTCTAAAAGCTTCTCACTATTTTCAAAATGATTCATAAAGGAAAGCTGGACTTCCAATATGAATCTCTCCCATTTTGTTCATTTTTGAAATCTTCATTATAGTTTTTTGGGTAGCTATTGTCATTCATGGTGTCTAAATTTGCATTTCCTTGCTTTACAAGCTGCAAATTGTAACATTCTGTCGAATGCAGATGTAAACAGAAGGCGTTGAAATAGCCCCCTGCATTCTCATGTATTTGGATATTATTTCAGAATTGACATTGCTTCATCTTGATAAAAAAACCGTTATTGCTTCGTTCACTGGCAAAACTTTTGGAAGTATTTGAATGTTCCTCAGATGATTTTTTGGATATTTCATAGTTCTCTTTTCTTAAAGATTTTGGCTTTTACACCCCTATTCAGTTTACATATGTCAAAACCGTGTCTGATAATTGTAGTGAAATGAGATGGATGCCAGAGGTATCTGCCACATTCCTTAGTTCACTTACATATATCAAGACAAGTTGTATTTGGAAATTGTATGTAAATGAAAATCTATGCCAAGTTGTAGACTTTCTTATATAACTTGCATTTGAATCTTTCTGTACTTCTACTTTCTTATATCTGTCTCCACTCTCCACCATTCAGGTACTAATTTAAGGATAAATAACATGCTGAGAATTCTTTTTAAGAGGAAACAGAGATGAGAGATACTACTTTAGTTAATGCTTACTAGTGAGATGGTAGACCTAATGGGCACAAAAGCAACATGTACACACTTTTTTTAAGAACTCATATCTTACTCTCGAAATGTGCAAGATTTCTGAAAATTTTTATGATACAGTATTGGAAAAGCAATTCGCGCAATACTTTTAATAATGTGAGTAAAATGAATTCTATTCATGCTCATGATATATATGAGGACTTATGAGTGATGTCATTGCTTCTATTTGTTTGATTGAAAAGGAAGAGAGGGGTGTGGGTGTGGGTACACAAAGGTATGTGGTGGTTACAAGAAGAATCAGATATTAGCATTGTTCAAAAACCGTGAATAATATTGAATCTCCTGAGTATAAGAAATAGTCTTATGACCACCATTTCCTTATCGTTTCGTTCTACTTTCCTCTTGTTCCAGTGTGCGTCTCACCCCACGAGTTTGAGCTAAAGACCCAAAGTGATTGATCAGGAATCCAGTATGAGAAGAAACACACAGGTTTTGATTCTGTCTTCCATTTTTTGCAGGTTTTGGACAACTCACATTCTGCAAAGAGAAAATCACAAGCTGCTGCTCTAAGCCCTATCTACATTGGAAAGATATTGCTTGTATTTGTCCTAATGTTCTTTGTTGGTGCCCTCTTCACCTTGTTGCTGGATAACCTTCCACAGCTTTTATCTAGATATGGGCTCGACGTTGAATAGCGTCTTTGAGATACATATAAGCCTGTATTTAAGAGCAGTTGCTTGGGTAAAAAAATCTGAAATATTTGCCTGTGGTTCATGTTATATTGTAAAGCTCTTCCAAAAGAATTGTTGCTTGTCATCACTTGTTGTCTTACTGCTGTATTTGCTAATCTGATATTGAAAATTTTCCAACTTTCCTATCCTGGGCATTGTAATGGGTCAGAAACATAAAATTGCATGTTTTGATTGAGTTTTAAGTCTTTTGGACCTAAATTGTGTAGAAATCGAAGTTATGTCCAAGAATAACTTGTGAAATGTTATGGTATGAAATATAAGCTTATGCTCCAGGAAAAAGGTTGTGTTGTTATGATTTATATGAGGCAAAAATTAAAGACAAACACGAAATAGAGATGAAAATGCATGCGAATAACAGAAAAGAACGCTCTACTCTCTTTGTTTTAATTTGTTTATATTTTTGTTTTGTTTGTTTTAAGGACTGTTTCCTTTTTAAGCGTTCTTTAATATCAGCTCCACATGACATTTTAAAGATCATTCAATAATAAGAGCCTAACCTAGACCAAGGACTCTCTCGTCTCAAGGGCATTTTCGTCAATCACTTCAACAGTGCCAAAATATCCTATTCCGTGAGTTATTGAACCACCGACCCCTCTTACGTAATTACTTCAACAGTGTCCGTATTCCCTAAGTCACTAGAATTGCCAACCCTAAACACATTCAACATATATTAACGTAAGGCCATAAGATTCAAAAGATTTTTGTTACTTTCTTAATTCTAAGTCAAGCCAATATCAATCGAACAAATTGAAAAAAAAAGGAGGAAATAGATATTTTGCTTAATTGTCCCTAAAACTATGGACCCAAAAGAGAAAACCTTAAACTTCTAGGGCCACATTGTACTTTTTTTTTCATATTTTAAAACAATAAAAACAAAACTATATCAACAAGATATTCTTTTGTTATATGCTTACACTCAAACCTCAAAATCAGCCAAACAGACCCTCTGAACTTCGTCTTCTCCATAAACACAATTTCCCAAATTCACCATAAGAAAGGAAAAAAAGCACCAATAAATTCAACAATGGGAACTTTAACGAGCTGTAGTTTCAGTATAATGAACTTACGGTTTCGTATGAATCCTCCGATTAGTTGTAAGTTCAGTCGGAGAATCCAAATGAAGAGAATGTCGAAACGGAGTTTGGGTAGATTGATTATTAGTTGTAGTAGTGGTAGTGGTGGTGGTGGTGGTGGTGGAAGTAGTAGTAATGATAATGGAAGTAGTAATGATAGGAAGCTGGAAAAAGATTCTTCTAATTTAGCTACTGTAACTGAAGAGACGGCGGGAGAAAGGAACAGCGGTGGTGAGGCGAGTGATTCGGAGGATTCTTCGGTGTCAATTTCATCCAGGGTGAGTTAGTATTTTGTTTTTGCTTTGAGAAATTGAAGAAGACTTTTGAATTTCGTGATGTTAAATTAAATATACATGAAATGTAGGTGGTGGCAGAAAGTTGAAATTAAAGAGTTGTAAAAAAGGAAAAATGTATTCTTTTTGAAACGGTTTTGAACAAGAGGGAGTAGCTCCTTTTGGCTATTGATTTTGAAGTTGAAATGAAACTTAAACAAATTGAGTTTTTGAAGCTGTGATATTTGGAAGTCGAAGTTGTGTTTGGACGTGGACAAAGTTTGAAACTTTGAGAGTGGAAGTCTAAAAAGTTCCAAAGAAACTGGCCAGAGCTATTTTTTGGGAACTTGAAAATATCAAAATTCATGGCCAAACAGATATTTGAAGATAAATTATCAAAATGTATGCCACACCTAGCATAGAGTTGGTTTTAAGTTTGTTTAGAGATGTTTATGTTAGTGTTGGGACAAGTGCAAATCTTTTAAAAGTTAATAACTAAATGAGCATTAGTAGCAAGTTCAAGGAAGTGAAGCAAAGATGAGCAACTCTCTAATTTGCTTAACTGAGTATTTAAATGAAGTGCATTGAAATAGAGCAGAAATGGATATAAAGGATTCATATAGCACACCCCAACCCAACTAGATTGGTATTTGATGTGTAGTTGTTATATTCTGAATTTTTGAAGTTTCTTGTTACTTATTTAAAGTTCGGTGCAGAAGAAAGGAGGAAATTTTGGGGGGAAATTATAGAAAGAATGTTTATTTAACTGATAATTGATATAGTTATTAGTATATTGATGTTGTTCTTCATACTGCTGGTTGTTGGACCATGTCATAGACTTCTAAAATAGGAAAACTGATTCTGCCAGCTACGTATTCAATGCCTCTAATCCTGGCTAGTGGCTACTGACTTGCTTATACAGATAGGAAACATTTTGCGGCAATGAATGGAAAGGAACATTGAAAGTTATATGCAAGTATTTTGCTTGAAATTTCCCTTTTCTGTTTCCCTTTGTTCCTTATCCTTGAGAGAATTAAGGGGTTAGGTTGTTCTGTTGCAGTGTGTTCTTGGAAGCAACCTCCTGGTACAATTGCAGTGTGTTTTTGGAAACAACCTCCTAGTACTGTGAATATCTAACCCGTTTTAGACTATGCAATATTGGAATGCATAGGCAATCTTGATTAGTTGAAATCTGATCTTGAATAGAATGCTTAGAAGCAAATGCCTACTGGGAATCTTACAACTAGTTACTTTGGAGATTGCAATACCAAAGGTTCTTTACCCTTATATAATGTTTAGTTTCAACTGTTAAATTATTTTGACTAGTATAAGAAAAAGGGTTCTGGCCTGAGACATGTGTGAATTTTAAGAAACTTATCTGGTCATTAAGATAGCAAAAAAAGTGTCAAATAGCTATCCTTTATTACATTGTAGTCAGAAAATGGTCAAGTAATCTATGTCGAGTCAAAACAAGCTTGCCAGAGGTGTTTCTATGATGATTAAAAAAAAGAGTAGCTGCAGGATTTTAAGAATCATTAAACTAATGAAGAAGAAATTCCGGTGTACTGAATATGTTTACTTTCTTGGCAGCCAACAATATCCACTGTTGGATCAACTTATAACAATTTTCAAGTAGATTCTTTTAAGTTGATGGAACTTCTTGGACCCGAAAAGGTTGATCCCAGTGAGGTGAAGATCATTAAGGAGAAGTTATTTGGCTACTCTACTTTTTGGGTGACTAAAGAAGAACCTTTTGGAGATTTTGGAGAGGGCATTCTTTTCCTTGGGAATCTTAGAGGAAAGAGGGAGGATGTTTTCGCCAAACTTCAGAGTCAGTTATCAGAAGTTATGGGTGATAAGTACAACTTATTCATGGTGGAGGAACCTAATTCAGAGGGGCCAGACCCTCGTGGTGGGCCCAGAGTCAGCTTTGGTATGCTGCGGAAAGAGGTTTCTGAACCAGGTCCAACATCTCTCTGGCAATATGTTATTGCTTTTCTGTTGTTCCTTCTCACGATTGGTTCCTCTGTGGAGCTAGGAATTGCGTCTCAGGTGTGCTAGTTATCCTCGTGGTTTGACTTTGGAATTCCCTTTTACTTTGTTTCATCACTTCTTCTCTTAAATTGTCAATCTTTTTGTCAAATTTGGCTGATGACTTAAATTTATGTTGAGCAGATAACTCGCCTTCCTCCTGAGGTAGTTAAGTACTTTACAGACCCAAATGCAATTGAACCACCAGATATGCAGCTCTTGTTACCGTTTGTGGATTCTGCTTTACCACTGGCATATGGTGTGTTGGGTGTCCAATTATTTCATGTAAGATTTCTTTGTTATTCTTTTAGTTGATTGTGAGGGATTATCTGTTATTGACAGGGTAAGCCAAGTTACATGAAAATTTCTCAAAAGCCCAGTTTTATCTTTGATTTATGAAAGAATGGTTTAAGCTACGCTTTTGATTCCCTTTATTGGCAACATTAATTATGTCAGCTAGGTTGAGTTATTATTTTATTCGGAAAACAATAATTAGTTGTGGTTTTAGTACTTCTCTTAATTGAAAGTTTAATGTTGAAATAGGATAGTGGAGAAATATTAAACTAAATACTGTTACTGTTGTCCAAAAAAATAAAATTAAACTAACAGAAATACTACAAACACATTCCCTTGCCTCAGAGCAGAAGCTTTATGTTTTATGGTTTCTGCTGAAAATTGAAGAACAGTCTCAACAGAAACATCTATTGTATAGATATTCTAAGTATGCTCTGCTCCTATGGTAACTGAACTCATAATTACTCCTATCAATAAGAGAAAACAACCTGATGAAGCAACAGATATGCACTTCACTGATTTAGTTGTGGTAGTTTACCACAAAATGCAATGTTGATCACGAAAAGTGCTTAGTCTAAAAATTGAGAGAATCCATTCAATCAACCATCTTACTCCTAAGTTCTTATATAGGCACATTTTTGTAGTGTATGCATCTGATTTGGGACACTACTACATGTAATACTACACCTGTATGCATTTAACTTAATCTAAACTAGTTACCTAACACTTCTCCTGCAAAAACTCGCATTACTTCCCTTCAAGGAGTTTTAAAGAAGATTGAATGCTTCTTTTATTACCTTTGTGCCAAAAAAGGAAGGAGCTACGAGTTCGGAGTCTACAGGCCTATTAGTCTGGTAGAAAGCATCTATAGGATCATGTCTAAGGTGCTTGCTAGTAGACTGAAAAAGGTGCTGGATGAGATGGTGTCTTCCTCTCCAAATGAATTTATGAAAGGAAGACAAATCATAGATGCGGCATTTGTGGAAATCGAGGTGGTGCATTCGAGGAGAAAGATGGGAGAGTTGGAGATTTTATGTTAGTTGGACCTTGAAGGGATTGATCTCATTTTTCTGTCAGCACATCTCAGGCTTATATTTCTTCATCTGATTTGTGAAGTACATAGTTTTTGCATTTCCTCATGCCAATCAGAAGATTCCTTAATTGATTTAAAAACATATTCATAAGTTCTGCCTTTCCTCCTGCCAATTAGAAGATTCGTTAATTGATTTAAACTCATATTCAGCTGACCTAGTGCATTGTTTTGAAAGATGCAAGACCTGAAAATGAAAGTAAATTTGTTGAAACTATAAGTAAGGTCACAGAACCAGGTAGAATTTGTCCGTGGTTAAGATATAAATGAAAGGTCAAGGATTCTTCTAAGTAACAGAAGGAAGCTATAACTTATTAGACACCTTCAGTTATTGTCGGAAGTTACTGTAAAATATTGTGCTCGAACATGTAGAAGAGACAATTGTATGCACATATTTTATACCTCAACTTTTATT